CAATTTTATACTTTAAGTCATTTTTGATCATTTCACTGGACGCACTTGCAAATTAGTCGATGTTGTATTTCAGCTTATGATAATGAGTCGCTGTTTACCTGCAGTTTATTTATATTATTAATTATTAACGAATTAATTTGACGAAAATAGAGTTTTGTATTTGTAGCCGTATTTTGTTTGCTAAATAAACCACAAGAGTTACATGGCATTTGGCATGTTGCACAGAAATATGTAAATCTCGAATAACTAGAAACTTGATTAATCTAACTCGCGAATGTTTTGTTCGTTGAATTTCGAACTAACAAGGATTTTCTGTAATAAGATTGTGCTTTGAGCAGATAAAAAAAAGTTAAGAACTAGAGGCATATAACTAATTTATCGTGCTTTTCAAAGATTTATTATTATTTTGTATTATTTGGTACTAATCTATAAATATTAATATTATGTCAATTTGTTAAATGTTACTAACTTTACTTTTAAATTATAGTCTAACCTTCTTGTAACGAACTAAGGTACGGTACAGTATATGTAATAAGGACTTGAATTGAACTTGCTACTGTTTTTTAACATATAAATATTTTGTACACTTCGCGATTGTAATAGTTCAGTTTGTGTCATCATTCTCGATGAACTCGAGCTATCGAGAATCTACTGTACATATTTTACATATTTTATTACAATCTTTTTATATACTACTAGCTGTTACCCGCGACTTGGCCCGCGCGGATTTTGCCAGCAAACCCTTTTTATATTAAGTATTTCAACAACCATAGTAATTGTTATATAACACGTACCGCTGTGAATGTTGAGAATTGCTGAGAATCAAACCAACTGTTTTCAATTTGATCAATTTTCTGGAACGTTTACAATCGTTCTGTAATCGAACCAATACGCAATAACAAATCCGAATTTAAAACGGCTCAAACATTTGGCTAAAAAATCGAAATATATAAAAATATTTATAACAATGTCTGAAATGTTATCAATTTAACACACTGAAGTACTCATTGAAAACTAAACGTAGTTAAAAACAAAAAATCGCATTTAAAATAGTACAGTAGAAGCTATTCTTCGGGTTAAGCCTTAATCCTCTCCTCCCGTGGGGGGAATTTTGAAAAATCTTTTCTTAGTGTGCGTTTTCATGACGTATCCTAACTGTGTACCAAATTTCACCTCTTTTAGTTCATCGGTTTGCTCTGGGCGATGATAAATCAGTCATTCAGTCAGGACAAGTAATTTTATACAATTAAATTACTAGTCCTGACTGACTGAGTCACTGATTGATTGATTCGTCATCGCCCAGAGCAAACCGCTGATCCTAAAGAGGTGAAATTTTGTACACAGTTAGGGTACGTCATTAAAACGTACACTAAAAAGTGATTTTTCAAAATTTCCCCAGGGGGAGAGGGAGAGGATTAAGGCTTAACAGGAAAAACGGCTTTTGTTGTACTATTTTAGATGCGATTTTCTGTTTTTATCTGCGTTTTAGTACGGTACGCCATGGCAATGCACACTAAGAAGGGATTTTTCGAAATTCCTTTGCGGGGGTGAGAGGGAGAGCATTAAAACATAACCGGAAGAACGGCTTCTACTGCACTATTTTAGATACAATTTTTTGTTTTAGCTGCGTTTTACTAGGGTATGCCATGAGAATGCACACTAAGAAGGGATTTTTTAAAATTTCTCCGCGGGGGAGGGGAAAGCATTAAGGCTTAACCGGAACAAAGGCTTCTACTGTATTATTTTAGATGCGATTTTTTGTTTTTATCGTGTTTCCGCGAAAATAAGACATCCGCAGAAAATAAGACCTAGCACAGGTTTTGCTGAATTGCGAAATATAAGACCTCCCCCTGAAAGTAAGACCTAGCGAAGTTTTTTTAGTTGTAACGGTCATCGACAGATGGTTGAAAGTAGCCGTTGGCTTTTTGAAAGTACAGCCAATGATTGGCAGCAGACAATTACGCCACACGGCATGATTTCCATAAGAATATGGCTTGGGAATCACAGATTTGCATAACGTTACGGCTAATGATGGCTATCGCCAGCCGTAACGGCCGACCACAATACATGTGGTCGGCCGGGAATCACGCCACATGACATTTCCATAGTGCAAGTAAGCACTAATTCAGTAAGCACTAATTGGTCATCGAGTCCGATGTTGACGCTATAAAAAGGCGACAGTTCGACACACCGGATATACGTCACTTTCATCTAAGTTCGACTTGGGTATTTTTTGTTCAATAATAGATGTGAATTCTTCTTCCTGGAAAAAATAAGACATTCCCTGAAAATAAGACCTAGCGATTTTTTCAGAGCAAAAATTAATATAAGACACTGTCTTATTTCCGGGGAAACACGGTATCTGCGTTTTAGTAGGGTATGTCATGAGAATGCACACTAAGAAGGGGTTTTTTCGAAATTCTCCCATGGGCGGGAGAGGGAGAAGTTTTAGTCTTCATCGAGTACTTAGATGTACTAAATTAATAACATTTCAGACACTGTTATAAATATTTTTTGTATTTCGATTTTAAAAATGTTCGAACTGTTTTAAATTCGAATTTGTTATTGCATATTGGTTCTATTATAGAACGATTTTAAACGTTCCAGAAAATTGATCAAATTGAAAATAGTTCGTTTGATTCTCAATAATTCTCATCATTCTCAGCGGTAGGTGTTATATAACAATTACTATGGTTGTTGAAATACTGACTATAAATGGGTTTGCTTCCAAAATCCTCGCGGGCAAAGCTGCGGGTAACAGCTAGTATATATATACATATACAAATTTAAATATAATCTGTATATACAGTAGACCCCCCTATAAAACGGGTTCCTATAATTACGATTCCTATAAAACTGCGAAAAAATTGCGAAGGTATCCGTAGGAAAACGGTAAAAAAAACTCCTATAATTACGTAAAACGTCATCGGGCAGCCGAACTATTTTCCGCCGTCAACTGCCACGCTACGGAAAGATTACTATCGTCTGTACAGTATTATATATAAATTAGGTACTGTATATATAATTATATATTAACTTAATTTATTGTAACTTTATTATAATTATATATATATTTTCCGCCGCGTAGCGCCACGCTACAAAGAGTTTAGGCTAACTATCGTCTGTACAGTATGTAAATTAGATACCGTAAGTCTAATACAGTACTGTAATTTTATACATTTCTTGTGAAAGAACATTTCTTATTCAACGGCGATTAAAATTATTTGTATTAATAATGTTTCCAAAGTTCAGCGAATTTTTCGCAGAAAAATAAGTTATTAGAAATCGGCCGCGGTTTGCTGAGCTGTTTCGCGACGAAAACAAGCTTGAGCAATGGCGATGTTGAATAATGGTGCACACTCGGTAAGTAATCCTGCAATTTTTCGTTTATAGCGTAGTTTATACGGATTATTCCCCCCAAAAAAATATACGAATTTTGGAAATGTTGAGTCGGATTAGTCTAGAATCGATTAATTTTATGGAAGAAAACCTTTCAATCAGCCGTAGTCCGTAAACTTCTCACGTGTTGGGCTGTGATTGGAAGGACTCGTAAGAAATCGGATTCCTAAAGAATGGAACGTATTTATGATCTTATAGGGGGGTCAACTGTACCGATTAAATTTAAATTTGAGTATAATATCGAAGTGTTAATAAAATTGCTTTTTTTCAATGATAGATTCTTCAATCAAATACTAAAAACAAAACATATCCTAAATCAGTCGCCAGAAATACATAACATCTGCTCACCTAATCAAAATTTATTAATTACAATTTTCTAAGTAATTGATTATAGTAAGCTAAAAGTAAAATATACAGTTGGATTTAAAATAAACAGAAAGTATTGCCAACGAAGCTATGTCAGAATACACTAGCAAAATGTTTGCCAATCATTATCAACAAATAACCGATTTCGTACATTTTTAAACTATTATACCGTCTTTTTTGTCAAAATTGTTACAGTTACTTTTCATTTTGTAGTGTTCTTTACAATTCAGTGTCACATTACTAAACTACTAATGTAATACAGTATTGAGATATTCTCCGACAACTGTTTAAACAAAAAAACTGTAAAACCGTCGTTTAACAAAGTTTCAAGATACAGTATGACGATATCTTACTAAACGATAACACTTAATATAAAGAATGACAGTTAAAAAAGTGTGTAACATATTATATTTTCTACTGGAAAAAAGTAAAATTAAAATTAATAGAAATTTTACTGCATTTTTCGCAAACACAGTGTTTGATTATTTACTGTAAATATACACCAACAGTGTTATTTCTATTCTCGGAATAAATTATTCTTTATCACATTTGAACTCATCACTTGTTTATTTTTGTATGTGGATGGCCTGAGCCATTAAAAAAGGATAAAATTTATAGAAGTATTTATTCCTCAAGATTCACAGAGAGAGAACAAAATGTACAATAAGATACAACAAAGGTCCAACAAGTAAGTGGGTACAGCGATAACCCGGATGTCGACATCACCTAAACCCTTCTCGAAAACGACTAAAGGCGAGTCACTTAAGATCATTAACATTTTCTATATCGTTTCCAAAAAAATATTCTCATGAAAGCATAAAATAACAATTAGAAAACGAAAAATCTGAATAATTCCTTTCAACTCAAATTATATTTTATTTCTACTAGAAAAAATAATTATCATTGTGTTGGTTGCACAATTAACAGCACAATATGATCATAATTACGAAAGTTATTGCATTGTGATCATATTTTATACATTTAATAACTAAGCATTTACTGCTACATGAATAAAATCGAAATATAAAATCAAAAATGTCATTTATACATTAAAATATTTTTTATTATTCTAAGATACATTACCCAGTTTACCGAGCTACTATTCTAACAGCTTAATGTAGCGTGTAAAAAGTAATTGTCGTTAAATTACTAGTTGGTATCAAACAATTTTTCGACTTCAATGAAGATAAGTAATCCAAATCGTGGCTAATAAATAAATAAAAATAGTGCATTACCTTTTCTAGAGCAGTTATATACAGAACTTTTTTATATTTCTCCTCTTCGTATTCTTCTCCGAACAAGATATTTTCTCTGATTGATCCGTTGAATACCCAAGCTTCTTGAGAAGCGTAAGCAATTTTTCCTTTCGCTATCACTTTACCGGAAGTAACAGGAATTTCTCCCAAAATGGACAATAAGAAAGACGTCTAATCAAATTAATAAAACGTTTTATTATTTGGTATGAAAAACTACGTGTAAATAATATAAGCATGTAAGCATTTAAAATGTTAGTAACATAGAGAGTATTTCCTTAAATCGTACCGATACGAAACTTATGTAGGCACGACTTAAGATTAAATTCAAATAAACATAAGAAAACATTGAATAAAACTATTAGGATTTCGTTTCCAGTAAACCACTACTAAACCACTACGAAATGAACACTTAAAAAAGAACATCAATTTGTCAATAATTTACTTGCTTGAAAGTTACCAAATATATAAAGAAAATTATAAAAAACAAGGTTAAACTTATTTGTTGAGAAAATTTGATACTTCGCCATCGATGACAGACATTCACTCTGCAAACCAATGTATTTGACTGAACTGTACAGTACATCTTATTGGAGGCAGAACCGCTGTTTCCGCGATATTAAATTTAAAATTTAAACTGTACGATTTAGGCAATGGAACGTGTTGAGCAACTTCACTATATGCAATGAAAATAATTCGAATGTTCGCTACTTCGTTAAAATAACAGTTTCAAAACAAAGAATAAAGTAATAAATTATTGGGTTAATAATTTCGCATAAGAATCATTTGTAGATAAAATAAGTTATATGAATAAATTTTACGAACTGTAATTATAAATATGCTTATATCCAGTTGTAGGTAAAATTTGACTTGTTAAAAATCATTTTCATTTAACTAAGAAATGGATGAAACGTTAGATTCTATAACAGATTATTCACACAATAACAATACAAATTATTCTCTAACTATTTTTTTCTCTTTTTCTACATCATGTAACTAATTCCCGCTGTAACTAATGAAAAACATAAAATTATTTAAACGTGACAATTAAGTGTAACAATTTAAAAATGAATTTTAATGGAATTACATAAATGGATAACTTTCAAATTTTAGTTAATTATTCTAAACAAGCATTATATCACAAAGCATATAAATAATATAAAATATATAACCAGAAAACGAGACATTCACCTTTCCTGATCCGACAGGGCCTACAACAGTTAATAATTCTCCAGGTTGTACGTTTATAGATATATCTTTTAATGTTGGGTAGGTTTCCTTTTAAAAATTCAAAGCGTAAAGTAACTAAATTGTATATAAACGATATTATACGTTATAAATTAGAAATAATATACTATAAATTAGATAATAATAACATAAATATATCACCTAATAAAAAAAAGCTGATAATAATTTATAAATCTTAAAATTAGTGACGGGAAATTATAATAAAAGTACACTATGCTATGACAATTGTTTGTATACCAGAAGTTTTGTAATCTGTCCTGTCTGTAAAATATAGTCGATAATCCATCATTGTCCGATAAAAAATACATTGTGTCTTGTCTCGTATTATCCCTCAGTTCATGCCTGGAATCTGTGAGATGGCAATACAACATTTTTAGCATTGATTTTTTCAGAATTTTTGAAAAATCTTAAATCATTCGTTTTCTTTTTAATTTTTAAGTCACAAAAATTTAGTAAATATGTTTGAACTGCGTGACTAGTCTATAAGCTAAAAACATCTTCATTCCCTGGATGTCATCTTCTTCTTTGGGTTTCTTTACGTTTGTAAAATTACATAAACTAGAACTTGCGAACCTTGCATGTAATTAGCATTATTCGATCCATTGCCAGTTCAAAATAAATAGACCAAAAATGCCATTTTTTTATTCTGTGTTTTTCCTTTATACTTGGAACATCTTTAATTAATTCAACTCAGATTATCTGATGTGCTTATTTTAAACAACGCGATTTTTTTCTATCTCTAGTTTTTATGTTGCATTGTTTTTGCAAAGAGACATGAAAAACAAATGTAATCGTTCAATGCTCTCTGTTACTGATTTACACTGTTACTTTAAATGATACCTTTTGCATATGACATCAAGAGTAAGGAGTTTTCTATATACGCAGCTGCAGTGCCGGTTTCGTTGACATTAAATTCTCTCTATTCTATTTAATAAACAATGTTGTAGTAATGAAGCCAGAAAAACCAGTATGGCACTCATAATTTTAAAGTTATGACAAAGTTCCTCATAGAATGGACATATGAAAATAAAACTTTTCGAGGAACAGACAGATTTTTCAGTCCTCGATTTCTCGCAAAATTACAGCTTTTCTAATACTAAGAATTGAAATGCAGTTTTATGGATAATTTTATATAGTGCGCTATTTAATTATTATATCTGTGTTTTTCTGTTAACTGCAAAACATCTGGTGACACAATAAAACATAATTTTAAAAAATTACTCAAGCGATGACCAGTTATTCAGCATAGGAATATTTAATAACTGCTAATACATCTACTTTAAAATCAGTAGAATTATATAAACTAACACAGCTACGGCATTCATTTCAAAACTTATAATAATTGAAATTATACTAATTAGATCTTACTTTTTTCCATGTAGCTGTGACGTTATTCATCCATATTCCATATTCGGTTAAAATTTTGCTATTCTCTACAGCTTTGAGAGTCTCGTCATCTTTTTCTTGAAGAAGAAGAAAATCCTAAATAAAAATTCGAAAAATCTTACAAGAAGTATTACAACTATGTCCCCGTGGTTTAATAAATTAGGAACAATGGTAGTGTTAGACATCAGGATGCAGTTATCCATTCCATTTTATTTACTAAGTCATAATGAGCGTTCTACGACTAATTAAATTTAAAACTAATTCTTATGACAAATGAAAATTTATATACTAGTTTATATTGGATTAGTTTATATTATATTGAAAGCAGTAATACATTAGGTCAGTCATGCAGGCGCTAATATGCCCAAGAAAAGATGATCAGCAGGAGAAGTTAGATGAAATGTCTGTTTACCAGACTATGATATTGTATCACTCACTAATTAATTAAAATACATAAACTGTTGCTATTCGGAGAAATAGATGTATATTATCAACCGTCGTTATATTTTAAAGTATCATGATTAGTTACACTCTACTCATAATTATATCAATATCGTTTCTTTATACGCGTACAGTAAACTAAAAGAGCTATTTATATGACATCTCACAGAAGTCATAGTAGTAGTTAAATTGTCACATTTCTAACAAGCATTGCAAATATACCATACGATAGTTATGAGTTTTCATATGGATATAAGTTTAGTAACAAAAATTTTTTTTCATCTTCCTTATTCTGCACTTCCCAACTATCAGCAGATGAACCTCTACTCTCTGAAAAAATTCCTTTTTCTGTCTGATTTTCTTATTTTCCAGAATCCAGAAGCATTACTTGTTTTCTTAAGCAGGAAACAACGTCAGACCCACTTTTATTTGTAAATATTTATAACTAAAGAATAAAAATATTCACAATCACGACATACTTAAATGCTAAAAATCTTGTTTGTGATAGGGCGAAGCCTGTAAAAACAAGCCAATATCAGTAAGCAATGATCATATAATAAAATAATTCGGATAATTCCATTATCATATATTTTGTGCCAAATTTTACTCAAATCGGTGACGGTGTAATACTTATTGTTAACGTTATTAACAAAATTCTCTACCCTGTTCCTGATGCTGTACAGAATTAAACTGTCACTCTTGGAGGCCAATACTGAGTTCGGCAAGACAGGCAGCTGCCCAGGGAAGCAGATTGCTACAGGCAGCAAAATGGGCTGAGGATATATAAAAATTATATAACATTGTTAATTTCAGATAGCTGATTTTTGTGTCTTTTGAAAATAATTAAGTAATTAAATTTTCCAGGTCCGAGCCCCAAAAATTTTTCGATTAAAATTACAAAATGTCTGTATTTTAATAAGACGATAAATAACTATCTTGCCCAGGATTGCATAATTGCTAGGTTTGTCCAACGTCCCTCCACTGCGTTGTAAAACCGAAAAATTTCAGATAGCTCTGTTTGAAAACTCCAAAATAATTACAATAAGATCTCTATCAGTGAAATGTCCCACTTCATCCATTACCAGATACTTCCCCCATGGTGGCCTGCAAAACTTCACGGTGTGATATAACAAAAAAAATTAATCTTAGTGCTATGGCCCAGAAAGCGAAAGATTAAATTAATAAAATTTGTAAATAATTATTAAATGTTATTTTTAAATTTTTAAGTAAAATATTTGTATTTTCGAATAATTTTTAAATTAATAAAGTTTGAAAACAACAATTGTCTAACTGTTCATTACCTGAAGTCTCTTCGACGAAACCAAAACTTCTGCAGCACAATCTGTTGCACGTGAAAATAAACTGATAGTGCTACCGAAAATGTATGCAGAAAGAGCCATAGTGATATATGCAATTTGGGCATTCAGTTGTCCTCCATTTAAGAAAAATGCAAGGTATGTGAGGGAAGTAAATAATCTACATATAGGATATCCCAACATAATCGATACTCCTCTTGCATATAAAAACATTCGAACTTTTTTCATTTCCTTCCTGCAAATATAGACAGTTCACTATAACAAATTATAGAACTTTCAAAGTAATTGTGAAAAAACAGGAATAGCAGAAATACAGAAAAATCTGTGTAAACCAGAATCACACAAAATTATTTTCTATTGATCAGGTGAGTTTCCAACTTGAATAATTTTTATTTAACATAAACAAACGTTTGTTTTTTGTTGAAACAGGTTTTACTGTATTTAATACCACTTACTTTCTGAATTTCTCAACTAATGCGACATATGGCAATTCCCAGGTGTACATTTTAATTAATCTCATATCAGCAATCATCTCGTTCAACAGGTTCAATCTTTTATCTCCCAATACAGCTGCTTGTAATCTATTATTATGGAATATTATTTAAATATAAATATATACTTTTAGAAAAGTAGGCATATATAAAATTACTTTATAAATATTTATCACTTTAGTTTACGTAGTTACTATTTTCTTTTAGTTATTCCAGTTACTAACAATATTAAATATTTTATGGACATTTAGTAAAGTTTTTAAACCATCTGAATTTGAACTCCTAACATTAAAAAGAAAAAAAAGATGAAGCCACAAATAATGTTATTCAAATAAGAAAAAAGTACTTTAAAAATTTATCGAACAAAATTAACGATGAAAATTAATAATACAAAGACACGAAGTTCTTCTATGCCTTTTTGGATTTAAGGATCAGTAAAATATCTAAACATATTTTAGTTTTTTGTAAATAAGTTAGCGCACCTCCTCGTAACTTAGTCCTCACTCCTAAAAAATTATGTGCCAATCATTGAACACTTTATTATACGAACCTAAATAACACTTTAAAATCCCTGTCTTTTGGAGATAACGAAGCTCATAATATTTAATCTTCCTTACATTAACTACTTGAGCCATGGTTAAACATTAATAGGAAATAAACCTAGACGAAAGTAACAGCAAACAACACTTCTTGCACTTCAGTCTACGTCTGTCTAGATGCATGTATTCTGAAGAATATGCTATATACTTCAAATAAATGCTCACTTTTATTGATACGGAATACTTATTACTAAAACAAAATCTTCATTGAAAAGCATTTTCTTCGTGCTGATAAGAGTAAAGTTTTGCTTCTATGTTTATTCATGCGACTGAAAGGATTTACAGTGGAATTTCGCTTAACGAGCATAATTTGTTTCAGAATCTTATTCGTAATGCAAAACACTCGTTAAGCAAAAGAATTTTTCCCATATGAATTGATGTAAAACACGAAAATGCGGCCAAGAAAATGCTCAAATATTTAATTAATGTATAACGTTTATTCAAAGAACATTATAAATATGTGTGAGGGTCAAAAATTTCGTGTTATATACTTTAAAATTTTTCCAAAATTTTAATTGAACTTTGAATGCAACTTTATTGAGACCAAACCAGTTATAAAAAATTAAAAGAGATAAAGGAAACATAAAATCTTGTTAAACCTCGATTCTCACGAGTTGGGTTCCTTGTTGAGATGAGTACATCTCTGTGTCACGATTGTGTCACCCATCACCTTATTGATCCAATGAGATCGTCATCCCTTTCCCTGACGAAATCAGGGAAAGGCCCAAAAAGAGGACTTCGTATAAAAAGGACAGGCACGATGAGTAACGAGGTGGAAGTTATTATTCGATTGTGTGTGTGTGTGCAGCGCCGGGATTTTCTTCGAGAGACTATTCCTGTTTGTCAACCAACACCTCCTTCTCGCCTCCTGAACTCGAAGATATCACAACTCACTCACTTAACTTCGAACTGTGGGACTCTATTGCAGTTATTCGATCAACAGTATAATATAAGGTATCTATCCTGTCCGCGCACCATTGTACGCTCTCTCTCTCTCCGCGTAAACCAATCGCGAACTCGATTGTAACTAGGAATTGAACTAGAATGAACGCGATTCACGCAACGGATATGTAGCAACTTAAATTCCGATGTATAACTAACTTAGATTCCATATAAATAAACGGTTATTTATGTTTAAAGCAACTTTGAGCGCAGTTTCTTCTGTTCTTCTCTCCGTTCACTCCATTCCGAATCCAAACCTCGCACGTCACCGCTCGCGCGAACTTGTAGTCTCTGTATCGACCTAAAAATACAGTGGTGTCATTCTGACGTGATATCGAAAGATACCGACCCAATGGTCACATATGCATTCTTAAGCAGCGTGAATCATCATCATCTTTTCTTCTAGCATGAAATAGACCAACCTGCAATGTGAATTCGATTTGCAGAAAACAAAAAAGTGACAGATCATATGTCTGATAAACACACCAAACGATGTGCCAAATTCTTGGACTATGTAAATGCTATAATTAAATATTATAAATTAATTAATTTGACTAGAGGTAGATAGTTATGCTGCCATCCCGTATTAAATTGAATAATTATAAATAATTAATTTTTTATTTACACGTTATAAAGATTGAATTTGGAGTTGGTCATTAAATTTAATACACGATAGCAGCATAACTGCCTATTTAATTATAGCCTTTACATAGCCCAAGAATTTGGCACATCGTTTGGCGTGTTTTTCAGGCATCTGATCTGTGATTTTCTTTTGTTTTCTGCAATTCGAATTTCCATTCCAGGTTGGTTCATTCCATGCTAGAAGAAAAGATGATGATGATGATGATTCACGTTCGTCAACAATGTATCTATATATATATATATATAATCGAGACGGGTTGATAATGATAATAATGATAATAATAATAATAAGCGCAGAGCCCAAACGGTTAGGAGTTGAAAGTTGAAATTTGGTACACAGTTAGGGTACGTCACGAAAACGCATACTAAGAAAGGATTTTTCGAAGGTTACTTTAACACTTTCATTGTTGATGGAAGTGTTAAGTAACAATGGAAGTGTTACGTAACAATGAAGTGTTACGTAACAATGGAATTGTTAAGAGAAAGCTACGTGCAAGACGCAAATGCAGTTTTTTCGTTTTTGCGAGAAATCGAACATATTTTTAGAACCATTTAAAAATTCTCTAATTACTCTGGAAACAAAGGGACCCAATTTTTGCATTCTGTGAAAACAATGTGTAACATAATAATCTTCATCTTAGTCATCGTTACTTTTGCCCAAGCAACGCTGGGCTTATCTGCGAATATTTTATAATTTTCATTGAATAAACGTTATACATAAAATATTTGAATATTTTCTCGGCGTGGGACGCATTATCGTATTTTACATCAATTCATACAGGAAATATTATTTTGCTTAACGAATATTTTGCATTACGAGTAAGATTCTGGAACGAATTATGCTCGTTAAGCGAGGTTCAACCGTATTTAATTATAACCTTTACATAGCCCAAGAATTTGGCATATTGTTTGGCATGTTTATTATATAACGGGCTGTGGTTGATAATTATACGTAATAAGTTTAAACATAAGTTTGAAAAAATGTGTGATCACAAGTGACACTAAGATGCTAGTTAAACAAGTACTAAACACAGACTGATAAAGCATCTGCACAATCCAAAATTTCCCCTCTTTTCGTCACTTTTTATGCGAAACATCGCTCGTTAAGCGAATTATTTTAAAATTTGTTTTTGCTCGTTACTCGAATTGCTCGTTAAGCAAATACTGCATTGGTGAAAAGTATGTGTGAAGGCATGTTGGAGAAAGATAGCTTACCAAGAATATGCAGCAAACAGTTAAATATAAAAGTTGAAATGTGTTCATTTAAGGCTGTATATCAGAAGTTGAAACATGAAAATTGGTGGTAATTAGAGAAATAATAAATAAACATGTTTATTCGAAATTATTAAAAATAGTCTACATTAACGTAAAACTGAGTCTGCAGATGGATTAATATCCTCAGCAATGTAATAATCCCAAACATTGTTTTTATATTGTGCATCAATGGGCTGCCTGTAATACTCCTCATTTTCTGCTGACTTCTCCGCAATTACCTGATATTAGCCTTATAAAACATCTACGGGCAAAAGTTTTAAAAAAACCAATAGAATTTTGAAATCAGAGCAAAACCACACTTATTAGAGTTTTAGACCAAATGGAAATAAATTTCATATGACTTATGAAAAAATAGCATTGAGTAAGCTTCGACACCTAAAAGCGGTTGTAGATGCTAAAGGTGACCAACAAAATATTAATTAAATGTTTTATTTACTTAAATACTTTTTGTATTCACATTTTTAACACCACTTTTAGAGAAATATAGTATTATTAAGCTATTTATTCATGTTTTTAAAAAATTTTCAATGCCATTATTTATATGCTATTAATTAACACACTTAAATACGACAAAAAAGATAATATTTAATAAATTTATTCTCTGGTAATGTTGTAATTCTTAACATTTAACTTTGTATGTAAACTTTTGCAACTCACTGTATATCGCATGAAAAATTAAAAATAAAATTAAGAATATGTTGTTGGCAACCTTTCAACCAAACATTATCGGTGCCACGCAGTATTTCACTGTGTTTAAAACAGTTCAGTATAAAATACCCGGAAATTAAGAAATGCATTCTTTATATACTACAAAACTTCAAGTACTGAAGAAGGAAAAACTGGATGTTCTCGAAGTGTGTAAAGGACGTTTCGAAATAAATAAGACACTCTTGTGCTACTTTTATTGTATTTGAGTTTTTGTAATGTATTAATTACTGCCCTGGCATTTTTAATTGATTATTTCTATTAATGTTTTAATTGTGCATTCTTTATGTTTTCATTACAGTAATTTGCTTCGAAAAAGCAAAAGATAAACATACTGCATCGAATTTAGCTTTGCTACAAATTACCATAAATTTCTCCAATTGTTATATGGTTTGTTTCAAATATAAACAGAAGCTGTAATTTACAAAGTTCAGAGTAAAAATATGAAAAAATTTCACAAAAAAGAGTGAAGAGACGCAGCCCCATTCCGTAAATGTTAATGTCAATGAACATCTAATTCTTTTAGGAATATATAAAGAGAAGCCCCTACTTACAAACGGATCAAGTGTCAATATGTTTATTTTGTATGCAAAAGTAAGTATTGTTTTAAACTTAAAAAGTAATTGTGTTAAATCTCACAACTCTCATTTTGTTTTTAATTCTTATAATGCAGTTATAATAATTCGATTACTTAAATTAAAAGTAAAGATTAGTCGAAGTATCACAAAAGATATGAAATGTTTTTGCTAATTGTATTAAGACAAGAATAATTGAATTTTCTATACGTTAAATAAAGCAATCCAAAAAATTTTGCAAAGTTCACAAAAAATTCGGAAAATTACCTGATGTCGTACTTGCAAATTATAAGCTTTATAAGAGAAAATAAACAAACACTATAATCAAAGAAATACATTAGTCTCAATAGCTGAAATGTCATGCAAACAATACTCGAGCAAAGAAGGTTAATGCTCTTGGTCATCCCGTCATCTCTAACATCAGCTATAAGTCTAGATTTCGACTAAATTATAGTCATTAAATAACTATTTCATCTTAATTAATAATAACTAACTTATGCATTATTTTTTAAATCTTATTTACAGGTTTATCACAGTTATATAATTCAAAAGTCAAAATAATAATTACCTGAATTTTGAATATAGTTTACTCAAAACAAATTGTATAGGAATGAAGAGAAATATGGCCAAGAATCCTACTAAAATAGTCCATCCGTAATATTGCCATAATATCGCTATCGTAGTGATGATTAAAAACGGATTTGAAAACAAATATGGAATTCCATTAATATTCTGTAATAAATAATAATATCAGTTTTATACAAAATACTATAAATTCGATCACTAGTAATATAAATTTCAGTATAATTATTATAGAAATTATAGAATATGTTAAGCTTGCATGAACTAGTTTACTTTATGAAGACGTTTTCTGTAATTTGACAACTACAGGACAGGAGGTTGCAGGTTGCTAGATTATCGATAATTGAAATTTGGGTTTTTAAATATTCATAAATTTTATTCATAAATTTCAGTAAAATATATAAGTTCTGAATGTGAAAACATCGCTGTACATTTTCAATTCAGACAGGCTGTTGCGTTGTTTTGAATTTTTTAGAAACACTATATTATTGGCATGAATGTTGAATGATGGCAGACTGTAGTGTTTTATCAATGAGTGCAAGCTTGTAAATACTATACGAACGTGTTTTGCATAAAATCGATATAAAAACAATCACACAGAGTCATATAACTGTTATTTTCCACTCCTTAACCTTATACTCTATAGCGAACACTACATTACTTTCTATTCTACACTGGCAGAAACTCTTTCACAAAACGATTCATATAGTACTAATATTTGTGTTCTTTGTTAAATTAGGTTTATTGTGAAAGATTCATTTCACTGCTGTTAGGAAAAGGTTACACGGTATTTTTTCTAATACCAACACCCATAGCGAAACACCTATGCATTAGACATATCCCCGTGTGAACTCAAATTACTTTTTCCGGCTTGACTTTAATGTGGATCAATTTCAATGTTCAGAAGTACTCAAAAGTGTTTGGTGGCGATTCTCTTCTAAATAAATGCATTTTATTTTAAAGGATCATATACTACCGCATCTATTTTAGTTAGCTTCTGTGATTAATTTACTGCCTTACTTCAAATTTCACAATTCAAGGAAATGTGTTTTGTTTGTTCATACCAAATTTGAAAATTATTTTTTTAGTTTATGAACTATTTTTTCCTGTAGAGAACATTTAGGCGTGAGATTGGAAGATATGACATCAAATAAATTAGGATATAGACAGACCCGTTGGTTACGCATTGTACAGAACATGATTTTACAATAAATAAATATAATCTTCACATTTAAACAGTGGAAGAAATTGTCAGGTTTTTCGACAGTTTGTGCATTAATACAATAAATTTTCAAGTGTTAATTAATATCTTGTTTTTTTCATTTACAAAAACTTTTTTAAAACTACGAATATTCATAAAAACAGTTAAAGGCGTGTATGATATAAGTAAAAACTAGAGAATTCCAGATTTATAGATTACTTGAAGATATTTTTTTAAATGATCGTCTATAAGTTATATTTATTTTAAAAAGTCTTTCTTTTTTATATTCATAAAATTGTTTAAAATATGGAATTTCAAGAAAAACTATATGAGGAACATTGTAATATCAGACGTGTATATGCAAAAACTGCACTGTTCCAGGTTAGTAATTTAATTTTTATTGTATTTATTATTTTGTTTTTTTTTTAAATTGCTAATTTCAAATTTTTAGCCTGAAAAAAGTATGTTTTATTCTTGAAATTCTGAATAAATAAAGATTTCTTTTACAAATTGAAGTTTGTTTCCTGATAAAAAGATCTAGTTAAAAGAAATTCAGATTAATGTCTGGTAGTCTGAGTTGGAACACCAGTAGGTTTTCTGCTTTCATATACCTTCAAAATTGCTAAATCTATTGCAATTCCTCGAGGAATATGGTTGTGATATTGTAAATCTATATCCTAAAAATTATACTAAGATCGATTTTCTTTACAAACTTCTCGTCTTGAATAGATTACTGCTTATCTATCTGGGCAATGTCAGCCTCTTATTTGTTAAACAAAGTTATTAAGGAAATACACAAAGTATATTTCCTTTTAAACAAATTTTGCCATCTTCCGTATACTAATAATACCGATGTGGGAAGAGTTAGACAGAGACTACCTAATTTCAAAGAAATAGTTAAGTATTTCAACCAAATTTTAATTTATAAATATTTTAATGGCGTAATATACAATTATTTGCTTAAATTAAAAGTTCTGTCCGGAATAACTTTATTTAGTACTTTTAATTCTATTTTATTGTAGTTTTGGATAAATTGTGTCATTTCGAAAGTAAAATCTATTGTACATCGATAGTTCCGATTAAATGTAAAATAAATAAGTAAATACTCCTTGATGCGATCGTATGAAAACGTGATATGTTAAGTAAAGAAAAATTATGTCAGAACACGAAATTGTTGCATTACTAAGGAGAACACATGACAATTAAAAATTATAAGTAATTAAAAATGAAAGTAAGCTATATTCCACAGTAATACTTTTAGTTCCTGCGAAAACCAGAAAAATTTATCGAGAATATGAACATGATAATATATAAATATATAATAAAAAATACATGAAAATAGTCAAATGTAAATGACTGACAATACTACAAGGCAACCTTGACAACAGTAACTGTAAAGAATTTTGTATTTCGTATATATTCTCTCTCTCTCTCTCTCTCTCCATGATTCAAGCATTTAATCTATACTAATATTATAAAGAGGTAAAGTTTGTAATACCCTGTTCGCACCGAGCATTTCGATCAAGATTGTGACCAAGGTCGGCAACTATGCCTTGGTGCGATCTCTCTCGACCATTTCAATCTCGACTGAAACGAGGTTCAATCGCGATCGACTCAAGAGAGTTCTTGAAACTAGATCCAGTTATAAGAGAAATCCCACAATCCCACGTGCGCGAGAAAATACAAGATGGATGCGGAACACGTGTCGGGCTATCGATAGAGAAATAAAAAAAGACATCTGGAGAGACGATGACATCTGTCTATTATTAAATATATGGCAAGAAAAAGTATTTATTTCTAACCAAAACTTCCATTTTGTTCTTTGGTGTTCGTGACTTATCGCGTAGTTATGTCAGTTTTATAATCTCGTGTAATAGCCGGGTTCTTCTCAAGCGAGTTACCTTTGCGAACAGCACGACGTACTGTACGACTGGCGACAGTCACAATCGAGATTGTAGGCAAATCGAGATCAAAGTGAGTCGTGGATTGTGTGCGAACGTAGTATAAGTCTGGATGTAGGAGGTAATCTCAGAAACTACTCATCCGATTTCAAAAATTCTTTCACCAATATTTAGAATGGAACTTCAGGGTGGACATAGGCTGTATATTATTCCGTTAAACATTCATATAAATTAAAAGATATCATCTAGTATTAAGGCGTTTATGTCCAAACGATGGCGCTAACTCCGTGAATACGACAACCTAAGTTTGCTTTTCTATGAGGATGAACTAAAGCAGATCATCTTCTATCTATCTATATAAATAAAAATGTAATGTTCGTTTGTTCCTACCGATTCCTTTGAAATTTTGACACAACGTTGCATTCGAATACGTTTTTATATACTATACGTGTCGAAATTCCCCCCACTGGGAGAGATGGACAGGATTAAGGCTTACCGTCTAGAACTCTGCTTCTATTTAAACTATTTTAGATGCGGTTTTTTGCGTTTTTGATTGCGTTTTAATAGGGTATGTCAAGAGAATGTACACTAACTAAGAAGGGTTTTTTCGAAAATTTCCCCCCACCTCACGGGGGAGTGTTATACATTTATAATTGGTACATTTTGAGCCACAACAACGCGTGGCAGGATCTGCTAGTATCTAATAAAACATTTGATGGGTCATAAATACTTCGTACAAATTCATTGGCAAATGATACAGTTATGTAAAATTTTGTTTGGACAATAAATAATTAAAGGAAAAAACATTCCTCTTTACAGCTAGATTTTATTACTTAACTAGCAGGTAGGCCCAGCGTTGCTCGGGCAAAAGTAACGATAGGGAAGATTAACATTATTACGTTATAGTCAACCTTACCCGTTTTCACAGAATGCAAGAATTGAGTCCCCCTGTTTCCGGACTGATCAGAGAATTTTTAGATGGTCTAAAAATATGTTCGATTTCCCACTAAAACGAAAACTCTGCATCTGCATCTTGCACGTCTCTTTCTCTTAACAATTCCATTGTTACGAAACATTTCCATTGTTGACACTTCCATTGTTACTTAAAACTTCCATTGTTACTTAACACTTCCATTGTTGATGGAAGTGTTAAGCCTTAATCCTGACTCTCTCCCACCGGGAAGGAATTTCGAAAAAACCCTTCTTAGTGTGCGTTTTCGTGACGTACCCTATCTGTGTACCAAATTTCAACTTTCAACTCCTAATTGTTTGGGCTCTGCGTTTATTATTATTATCATCAACCCATCTTGATTATATATATAGATTCACTATATATCATGTATTAATTAAAATAAGTTTCAATACCAACAAGCATACCAATAACAATACTTTGTTTCTCATAAAATACAATCCCAATGAACGAATTTCTATAGAAGTGATCAACAGCTATAACAATTCATAAGTAATAGAAAAGAAACCTACTCAAAAAATGTCTCTGCCAGCTTGCCCTTTGAGTGTTTGCTTCGTATACTAGATCAAATTTTCAAAAATTTTATTTTTTATGAACAATTAATGCACAGATTCACTCTGTCCAAAGTTTACACTCTGTATTATGGTTTATAACAGAAATACACAAGAAAATAGTTGTTTATTAGTAACACAGTTGAAAACTGTAAGATAGTTTGACAATTATTTTCATTCAGTGATATAAACTATACTTACTCACTTTTCATATGGCGTAATAAATTGCCAAATATAAAAATTCCTATATTATAGAATAACGCTTCTAGCCCACAACATAAATTCACTATAAATTGACTAGGCTAATGAATAAAACTATAATAAATCGGATGGCTTATCCCTGATGTGATAAGCTCTCCAATTCCTTACAGCCGTATTTATTAGGCTAATTGATTTATACAGTAGACCCCCTATAACACGGGTTCCTATAGTTTGGATTCCTGTATGACGGCGAAAAAATTTCGACGGTATCCGTACAAACATGGTAAAAAAACTCCTATAATTCGGTAAAACGTCATTGGGCAGCCGAACTACTTTCCGCCGTCCAGCGCCACGCTACGGAGAGTTAGGCTGGTAAATTAAGTTTACTATCGTCTGTACAGTATTATAGAGGAGAAGGTGGTATTATGGAACACTGCGGGTATTATGGAACCACCCCATTTCGAACTGATAATAAAGGCGAACCGTAGCGGAATGTGGCTGAACTGAACTAGGCAGACATTCATAGCAAGGGGAAAACCCGTTTTACTTCAGTTAAACGGTTGTCCGCATTTAATCATCAAATTTGTTTTTTTCAAAATTCGCAAGTTTTGAATGCTAAGTGAATTTAATTATTTTTCAAATATAAATCGCGTAGTTGTAGGTTCACCGGTGCATGTATTCCGTTCCAGAGACTTAGGGGTACGTATTAATCTGTGTGATGTTCACGTTTTTTAAATTTTGGTCTTGACAGACATAAGTTAATTCAAGATGGCGATGCGTGAAATACGGACCCCATTGGTGCTTTTACAGTAATATGGAACTCAACTCCTCCGAACTTTCTATTTGCAAGCAGACATTCCTCCAGAGCAATTTGTGAAAAAGACACTAGGTAGAAAGCCAATTCTTCCCGAGAATATCGAAAAAGAGCTGCTGGAATATATATTGTTGATGGAGGTCATATTTTTCTATTATAAAAGCATTTTTGCGATAAAATACATTGGAGTAAATAATTTGGTAATTATTTAACATTTTTTGTCCTTTCCTATTTGTTTTTGGCTACATTAAAGCATTTTTTTGAAAATATACAGTAAGGTTCCATATTACCACCCGATTTTCTCTAAGCCTACTTTCGGACTTTTTGTACAAAAGCCTTCAAAAACCATACTTATAGTTATACTAGCGAAAAATCCAATTAGGAACATTTAGTTTACTAGTTACCAGTACTTTTCGCACAAAAAATGTGGGTGTAGTTATGATACTTTGTTTACAATTCACTAAAATGTAATTGGGGTTCCATAATACCACCTTCTCCTTTATATAAATTATATATAAATTAGATACTGTACATAAAATTATATATTATTTATATATAAATTAGGTACTGTATATATAATTATATTTTAACTTAACTTATTGTAACTTTATTATAATTATATATATATATATATACTTTCCGCCGTCCAGCGCCACGCTACAGAGAGTTTAGGCATGTAAGTTGAGTTCACTATCGTCTGTACAGTATGTAAATTAGGTACCGTAAGTCTAATACAGCACTAATTTTACACATTTCTTGTGAAAGAAACATTTCTTATTCAACGGACATAAAAATTATTTATATTAATGATGTCTCCAAAATTCAACGAAGTTTTTGCAGAAAAATAACTTAACAGAAATCGCGGCCGCCGTTTGGTGCGCTGCTCCTCGACAAAAACAAGCTTAAGCATTGGCGACGTCGAACGGTACACACTCGGTATGTAATCCTACAATTTTTTGTTTGTAGCATAGTTTATATGAATTATTCCCAAAATAATTATACATATTTTGGAAATGTGTCGAATTAGTCTAGAATCGATTAATGTTATGGAAGAAACCTTTCAAACAGCCGTAAGTCTGTAAACTGCAGACGTGCCGGGCTGTGATTGTCAAGGTCTCCTAAAACATAAATTTCATAAAAAACGGAACATATCTACCGTGTTATAGGGGGTCGACTGTACTCTATAAAGATTCATATAAAACTTGATCGAAAAGTAGTAAAAATTGGTAAATGCAGACAAAAAATGACATTCTTCTAGCACAGGGGTGGCCAACCTTTTGCATACCATTTTGATAGACGAGTTCACATGCGCAGTGGCGTACTGTGAGTGTTAGCAGCCCGGAATGGAGAAAATTTCGGCTACCCCTTATTTAGGTATTTCAATCTATAAGACGAAAATTCAGATTTGCCACAGAACAAGCAATGAAAAATGCGGTTGCAGTGTAGCTACCCGTAAAAAATAGTTCTATATGACATCAGTGGTGTAGTGTACATTAACACGAATGCGTCGTGTAACGTACAAGCAATAAAAAACAGGTCAACAGGTCGATTGCACCGAAGCGCCACTTGTAGTCGTCCAATGCGCCAAGTTTGGTGCATGCGCCACGTTTTGGTCACCCCTGTTCTAGCATATCAATGTTTAAGCAGGTATTTCAAAGTTATCAAAGTAAAGAAATATACTGAATCATATTCAGATGGATTAGAGTTTACGTAAAACTGATTGGAAACGTATCGCAGCTTACGCAGTGGAAAATATACAGTAGTGTCTGGAAAGATCAAATTGCGTATAATCTATTAGATTTTGCGAAAGTCCAAAACATTGGATAATTCGGCATTATCGATAATTCCACACAACATGTTTTAAAAGTTTTAGATTAAACTTAAACTGATGTGAGTTGAAGTTGCACTTATTGTGTTCTGGGTCTGATGAATCATTATTATGTACATTTTATAATATTATATTTCAAGTTTAATTATTTTTTTATTCGATCTGTATAGACTTATTAACTTATTAATATAGTATCAATGATCATTTATTTTGACTTAGCAGAAGTGTTTTTTGAAAGTATTAGAAATATCTGTTACAAAACGTTCACTTCGAATACAAAAACAACAATTGTTTCGTCAAAAAAATTTAACATTTTATTAAATCTAATATTGTACTTTTTCATAATTATGTATAAAATTTAATGTACTTTTAGGTGTAAAAAACTGACACTCGCTACTTCCTAAGGAAAATTTTATTTACAAAATTTAACAGCGAATGATGCGTATTGTAACTGAAATGAATTGAGATGACTCATTTCCTTCGCTTATTTTCCATTTCGAAACAAAAAAGTAAAAGCTAGAGAAAAAAACATGAAACATTTCACTAGAAACAAAATTACGTAACTACTGTTGTGGGTGCAATTGACACATACAAATCTTATAAACCTACATTGTTGTTACATGCGAAACACGTCTGCCTATTACAATGTTAGTCAGTAGATTTGTTAAGCTGCTGAATCGCATGTGCCAATAAAATGAGCACAGCGGCTGATAAGCGACATCGAAAATGTGACGTGGATCCAGTAGACCCACAGCATTAGTTATACTTCTATAAGTTATTTGTATATATAACAGATTGACTTTGTAATCATTCTTTACTCGAATTTATAATTATCTATCCGAATTAATCCAAATTTGAATTGATAGTAAATAAAACAGAGATTTTGAAGCGAACACATTTACCTCTAATTGAATTACATATACAAAAACATCTTTTTATCGTCGTGTAACTTTATTACAGCAGGTAAAAATATTAATACACTGTGTGTATTTATATTTATAAGAATAATAACTTCAACTTACATTTTGAAATTTGCTGACATCATTTGCTATAAGATTTACCATTTGCCCAACATTCGATTTTTCAAGAGATGAAGAACTTAACCTCATTGCCTATAAAAAATTTATATATAATAAATAAACATTCTCAAAAATATGTTATGTTCCAATAACAAAGTACTTTTTAACAAAATTGTACACAAAGAAATGAAATAAAATTTTCTAACTTTTACACAAGTGTTAAGTGTTTGGCATCTCAAATACACTATTTTTTCCTAAATTCTGAAAAATTGGCCATGGCATTAAAAACTACACTTATATCTTCAATTTCTGTATTTTGCGTACTATCTAACAATATAAAATTTTTCTTGATTCAAATAATTAATTTTTATGTTTATTTTTTAAATTAAAAAAAAACACGAAAAATAAACGTATCAATGCTCAAATGGCTGTAAATTAACTCCTTACCTAGATTTATATAGGGTTTGAGTAAAATTTAAGAAGGTTTTATCTGTCAAAGTCAAAATAACAAAGCATTCTTTATTGTCTCCTGAGAAAATAGTACACAAAACTGTACTAAGCATAAACAAGGCTAATAAACTGCTAAATGTTTTAGTACTGTATAAACAAAAACTCTTTGTTTTATTATAACTGAGTTGAATAAGATATACTCAGGAAAATGTTAAAACATTTGATAACCAATGAATCAGGAGTAATTTCTATGATGTTATTTTAATACTTTTTTGTAAGTTAGTTGCACAATTCAACACATTAGATATTTAAATTAAAAAGTACCTACTGATCAAACTATTACAAAAAAACATCAAAACTTGCACACGATTTAATAGCTAACGCGTGTAAGACAGAAAATTTCGTATGTGGTAATAATAAAATATGCGTAAATTAAGAGCTTTATAAGTTAAAAAAAAACTCTTAATGAAATTGCTAAATACAGAATTTGGTAAATATACTGATTGGCACAACTACATAATAAACAAAAATATTAATTGTTGGAAAGCAGGATGTACTAAATGTTTTGCGATGATAGTCTATCATTCCTGAAAAAGCCATGTCACCAGACTACAGGCCGAAAATTGCGTTGTCACAAACAAAGGCAATATCCAATTTGAAATTAATTGGAATTAGGCCAGACATTATAGAAAAGAAAATAATATAAATAATAGTACTATTGTACAGCTATATATATTCTAGATCGATAATTTATAAAATCGCGTTTATTATATGCAAGAGTAAAAGTATATCGCACTTGCAAATTAAATTACCGACATTAAAGACATTGAAAAAACAAATTCTGTAAATAATGAAAAATAGTTATTTCAATTTTTCTTGCAATAAGACACATAAAGTGCCATTGTTTTCGAATACTTTTGTGATCATCGTCAAATTATAAATTTTACAAACTAATTCTAACAGATCAAATGAATAATAAACAATAGATTGACAAGATTATAAAGCAAATTATAAAGATTATAAAATTATTTTATTATCTTTACTTATGTTACCTGTATAAATAGTTTGTTATCAGTAATAAATTTCAGAATATTATTTTCAGGAAAGCACATTCAAGTAGTACGATATAAAATGTTATCATTATATATATATAGTAATGTGTCAGTTTACCTTAACCGTGTTAGACAACATTTGCCTATGTTAATAAAGATAAAAGAAATATTGACATGTAAAGATATGTTTCCAAAATAATATAAATAGCTATTTTTAACTAACAGTATATATTAACTAACAGTATATATTAGGAAAATGCAAATAAATACTGTACTAAATTTTACATATTTATATTTAATAACAGAAGTTGTAATATGTGACAATTTACGTACATTTAAGCGTACTTTTATGATTATGGTAAAGACAAATATCAAATTGAAAAACACTTTCGTGCATTTTCATTTTTTATGTACTCTGGTTTTGTAAGGAGCCAGCACAGAAGTCTAAAGGACTCATTTTGTTAATTTGCTATTGTCATCGTTTGTTTATATCCAACGACTATAGAACTAATTTTGCTACATTGCAGTTTGGGTATCCAGGGAAATCAATCAAGTCATATAAATAATTGCACGTCATAAGCAAAACCATTTTTATGGCGGTAGCCCACCAATATTTTTATCATCATGCACCTTTGCTTATTATAATCATTGACAGTGGCAGATCCTATTGAAATGTCTATAATTATGGGACATGGCTATTTATACATACTGACTGTATGTTCTTATATTCCGGCTGGTTACTGTATGCCCTGTTATTACAATTATTATTTTGATAATCACTACACAATTATAAATAATTATAGTTTTATTTATTAAAGTTCAGTTACAATGTTGTTCAATAAAATAATCAATAAACTATGAAGTATCATTAAATCAGTGAAATATAAGTAATGAAATTTAAAGTAGATTGATAGGTATACCAATAAAGTAAAATAAATATATCATTTTGTATTCTGTATTTTAATTTTTTTCTGTAAAAAGTGGTCTGCTTAATCTTTCTCTCCAGACGTCCTTTGGATTTAATTTTAGTTTTAAGATTTTGTTTCATTGATTTGAACAGAGCTCATTATTAGACCGAATTTGTTCTTCAAGTTCTCCTGGTTCAATTGTACTAAGCCCACTACTTTCATATTCAAAAAGAGAAATTCCATTTCTTGCATTGCTTTCTATTACTTTTAATTCCTATACATGTTTATTGAAGGTTTGCGTTCCATAATTAGACAAAATATCTGCAATATTTTTAATTATCGCCAGTGCCGTATAAAATTTTTCCATATCTTATAATATTTTGTTGGGACAATCAAAATCATCAGTAAAAGTTTCATCTTCAATATGATCATCAATGTCTACATTTACATCATTTGTATCCATACTTAGTGCATTTTCAATTGAAATAATATATCTTGCATGAAAGCAAGTTTTTGAAAATATGTCGAAATTATTAAATTTTCTTATTATAAGAATATGACGACATGGTGCACTAAAAGAATTCTAAAATGAACAAGAACATGTTTTCACCGATGTATTATATAATCGAAATTTAGGATATCCTAATTCATATATAACATTAAAACTGTCATCTTTACGTCATGGCTTTAGAAGGGTTAAATAGCAAATTGTATATACATACTATATGTATAAATAACCACTTTGATAATTATGCACCTAACATGAAAATAACACATAAGTGAATTGAACCCTTTGTATTTGTAATGTTAATTAAATTTAATTCTATAATGCGAACATAAAACGCAGTATTACTGTAATATGTAAATTAACAACAAATCAGAAAACTTAAGCACATAGCAAATCTTTTATTTGAAAAAGTCTTTTTTCTGAAGAATATAAATATAATAATATATTCATAATACATTATAATTGATACTCACCTTTCTATATATAATCGTGCAAAAAGCTATCTTTAAATTCATTCCAATTAATTCTGTCATAATATAATTAGTATTATATAATATAAAAAACATCGCAGTCATTGCAAAAAATCCGGCAATGCTTAAGTAAATATTGTATGGATTCCATTCCGACCTATTGTCAAAATAGTGTACTGTTACTCCTAAAAAGTGTACTTGGCCTGCGACTACCGCCGTTTCCTGCAAATATACATAAATATCAGTTATTTTAATTATTTTAATATATGATTAACGTTTAAGGGAAAACAATTGTGAAGTACCTGAACCAATATAAGTAAAATTAATGTTAAGAATTTCCATCCAACTAATCGTAATACAGCTTTCAGTATGTTTGGATTTCTCTTCTGTAGTTCTTCGTTCCACTCTCTGATAAAAAAAATTGCAATGAAACGTAATAAATTATAATAATATTTTTAATACGTATTTCAATTTTTTTTAATTTATAAATTACTAGCAGACCCCGCCACGCGTTGTTATAAGATAACGTTTGTATAACTGCGAAGGTTATCTTATGTAAGCGTTTATCACACCGATTGACCAATGTAAGACATTTAAAATTTTTTTTAATTTGTGTACAATATAGAAATAAAAATAGTTTAAAATGTGTTAGATTGAATAACTGGTGTCATAAATTATCACGTATAATAATCTTTGTAGTTATATAAATCAAATATAACAACCATTAAAACGAAAACCATAAAAAGAATTTGGTTATTTCAGTCTACAATTGTCGCGTTTATCGGGATACTCGGACAGTTCAAACTGGCACAATTTCATATATACACCAATTAAAAATACGATTCACATATCATATTTTTTCCTAATGTTAACTCTAACAAACTGTAACATTCACAGAAGAATATCAAATAGTAGTCTACCAACCAATCAAAATATCGGAAAAAAACGGACCAAATATTTAAACTCGACACCCTCAAAAACAACATAAAATACTGTATATTTTGTGCTCACCGGTAACCTTGTAAAACGTAATTTTTCTATTCGAATGCCAGCATAATAAATTGAAACTCCACTCAGCTTCTTTTAAACCTTTAATAAAAACACTTAACACCTTATATGCTGAAATATATTTATTGAAACACAAACGTTTTCAGCCTAATGGAATAGGCCATCTTCAGATGAACTGGCATTCGAACGTATTTCAAAATTGTATTAAATGGAACGTTCGATCATTATAAATTCAAAATTAAAACGAAAAATAAATTAACCAATCAATATACAAAATAAGTATACTAAATAGATTGACGCCATATTAATATAAATAATAAATAAGGCGATATAAAAATAAAAACAAAAACAAAATAAATAAACCTAAAGGATTAAATGCACAAAAGGACTAAATTCATAAAAAATATATACATAAAAAACATCATATTATAAAGGGCAGATAGGAACTAAGAATTTGTGTGTTTTAACTTTTCTTTTACAAGGAACTTCCATGCCGATGGTAAACTATCAGCAT